ATGTCTAATAAAAAAATTAGATTAAAAGTAAAATTAAATGACCAAAATAATCACCTTTAAAAAAGTAGAGTAACCAAAATAACATTTTGGAGGAACTAAAATTAATCCGAAGTCGAAAATTAAGTATTTTGAAAGTACAAGCATGGAAATGAACTAAAGCGAAAATTACATAAAAATAAATAATATTATGTTAAGAGTGGGAAAGTGGGGTCTATGGGGAGAGTGAGTTTGTCGTGTGGAATGGAGAAGTTCCCTATGCCCAAAAATTGGAATCACAACGGCATTTATTATATGGCTCTATGACCACCCAACACTTGTGACATTCTTACATTGTTTTTCTTTTGCATAATTTCAAATCTACGTGTACTTTTACAAAGTAGGAAGGAAAATTATATCATTTTAAGATAAGTGGTTAAAACTTAAAAGGGTGCCATTTTGATTATGTCGAATTTGTAAGAAGGGTTTATAATTTTAAAATTTTAGTTTTTGGATATTTTCTTATACTTGTAAATATTTTTTCTACGATATTATATAGTACATGAGTACGAGGGAAGAAAATTGAATCTACAATTTATAAGAAGGAAACAGTATGTAATGTACAAAGAAACACTACTTCCACTCACATATTTTCTTGTTTTTACATCTAAGATTTAAGAAAAAAATATCAAAATCTTAAAAGTTAGAAAACTAACCGAAATAATAATTTATTTTTTATTTTAAAATTTGATTGAAAACTCAAAATGTATTTTAAAGAATCAAAATTTACTAAAGAAGTTGAGATAAAAGTAACCATAATATTTAGAAATATAAAACTAAAAACGAAGTCGTGATGGTTGCTACACAACATGGTTCACAAGTTCTAACCGACAAAGCACATGCACATACAAAAGATCGACACACCAGTGATATCAAGCCCAACACATTTTATGCCTAAAAGAGTAGGATTGTATATAGAACATACCTAATACCTCATATCTTATTTATAGAGAATTGGCTCATGTGGATTGCAGCAACTGATCTAAAATTTCGTGCATATTGTCACCTGTATTAAGGATTATAACATTTAAACACCTTTTTTTAGTACATGGTGGGGTTCGAACTCATGATCTTTAAGTTAAAGATAGGTACCATAATCATTTAAACTATGCTCGATTTGGCATAACATTTAAACATTTGCTTGTAGCTTTTATAAACCTCTTGGACACATATAGAAATCTATGTGTTAAGAATCATTATAATTTTTCTTAGACAAATAACATTTTTAGTTTATGTTTCGTTCGAAACTCAAACTCTGTTTTTTTTTTTTCAGATTCACTTAATCAACTGGATTTAGTGAATACGCGTTTGTTAGAATCTATGAGATTCGTATTTTAAAATTGTTTTTGGATTCTATGATCCAGTAGAAATTTTGAGAACGACTTTTTGATGTTTACAGTGTTTTCAGATTCAGAATTTGAAAAACTTTGATAAATATAGTACTTTATATTATAAACTCATTTTATGTTTGTTAAAATTAAAACATGTAAAATATAATGTATTATAAATTATATAACCTTGTAAAATAATAATTATACTCATAAAAGAATGTTAATAAATAAATTAATATAAGTTTAGATTAAACTAAAATTTAGTTCGTAACTATCCACTAAACTCACATTGAACAATTTTTTAAATTGAGATTCAATTACCAAATTTGCTACACATATTTGAAAACACTGAAAACAAATACTAAGTTATATATATATTATTAAAATATCATTTTGATCCCTATATTTTATAACGTATTTTATTATATAATGGTTAGATACTAATTTCCATCTAACGTGGCAAAAAATATTAATGATAGTAACCTCATTTAATAAATGGTACAACGCATATGTATTTCCATTTCTAAAGGAAAGACCTACAAGAACAATTAATTTTTTTGGTAAAAATGTACGAAGTTGTACTATTTTTAAGATTTATTAGAAGAAAGGAAGAATAAATTTGAAATATATGAACTAAAATATTATTTTAATTTCTTTTGCTACTTAGGTGACATTTTCTCCCCTATGATCATAGGCCAATAGAGGGGTGAATATGGTTACTTACTAAGACCACGTTTATTTAACTGCAATTGTAATAATTTCAATGGTAATGAAATCAATTGAAATCGTAATATTATTCCATTGATATTGTTTACTAGAAATTTTCTAGAATTGTAATTAGAATTTCTTTGATGTTGTTTACTAAAACTGTCTAGAATCGGAATTGAAATTATAGGACAATTACTAATATATCTCTTTCTCCTTGTTAGCCAATTACAAATATATTATTGTCTTAAATCTTTTTTAAATTACAATAATAATAAATTTTAATTAAAATAAAATTACATCAAATAAAATATTTTTTATTACAACAACCAAACTTTAATAAAACATATTATTAAGTTTTATTATTCTAATATTCAAAAGTAATAATATCTATTTAAAAATTCTATTGATATTAATTAATATTAATATTACATTATAAAATCACATCAACTAATAAAAATTGGAGTATAAATGGAGAATAAATTATAAAAGTATAAAAAAACTAATTAAAAATTATATGGATTTAATCCATAGATGAGAAAGAAAGGGTAAAAGTAGAACATTAATTATAATATATATGTGGGGTCCACGAAATAAGGAATGAGAATGAGATTGATGGGGTTGTAGGAGTGTACACTTTTTAATGAGATTACAAAGTTTGAGGTGAGTCCCACCCTTTGATTACATTCGGTAAACATCGTCAAAGGGAATAAAAATTTTCATTATGATTTATTGATTACGATTGCAGATAAGTAAACAAGACCTAAGATTTTAAAAATAAAATCAAGAATAACAAAAAAAATTAAACAAAAATTAAATGCGCAGATTAACATGAGCAGAGATTTTCGCCTCTCACGCAAAATACGCGAAATATTTTCTCTCAAATATTGATTAGGTAAGTACCGACTAGAGCATCAGAATATTAACTCTCTTTCGTAAATTTTTGAGACACTATTCAGAGTCCAAACCGACTCATCATTTTCTTGTTAAAACAAGTTAAACATGTCAAACAATTTTGTATTAAAAACATTCTCGAGCAACTCATAAGTAGTATAATTAAAAATAAAAGAAAAAAAAAATTATTGAAGACACCAATTTTGTAGGAAATAATTTATAATTAATTTAACTCTGAAAAAGCTGTTGTTGGCATGGGAGAGAAGCAGTCAACAGAGAATCATAAAAAGCAGTGGGAAAATCAAACTAAATCCACGACTTGGAGACTGGGAAAAGAATAATAATAATTATTTTGTCTATTTTTAAAAATTTATCTTTTAACTTTACTGATTGGACTATTCTATATCTATTTATTTATTTAAAATTTTACCATATTTATTATTTATCCAAGTAGAGCTAGAATATAGAACACAAAACATCATCATTTTGGCTGTGCTTTTTACAAGGCTTCCATTTATATATTAATTCATTGTTCAATGTGTTGTAAAAACAGGACCAAAATGCTCCCATTCCGTTGACCGATTCAAAACCTCTCCCATGTATAAATGTCGATATTCATATAAATATTGAGATCTATTTTTATAAATATTGGTTCATGGAATATTATATCTAATTGGTTTAGAAATCGATCATGTGATCTCATCTGAATTTTATTTAATAACATGTCACATCAATGTTCTATAAATCAATGTTAGTGATAGAATGAAAAACAAGACTAACTTAAAAATCAACCACGGGATAGTTTACAAGTCACTTAGGAAAAGTGAAAAAAATAAAGTAAATGGATGCGGAAGAATTGATTCAAATCCCACACCCAAAATTTCCTAACCCATGAAATTAGTCAAAGTACGTACAAATTAAGAAAACAAACATCCGGATCAAACTTATATATTTACCCAAGAAAAGAAAAAATGGAAAATTTGGGGATAAATGGGAGAGGATAGTAAAAAGGAAAGAAAGGTCGGTTGAATTGTGACATGATGAAGGACTTAAAAGTCAGAAAATGATGGCCCAAGTTTTGACCATTAGGGCTGATTTGGACATTGGAGGGAGGGGTGGGCCCACAAATAATATTGACCAATCATCAATCACATGCCCCTCTTCTGCCATTTCATTACTTGTTCATCTTCTTCTTTATCTATCTACTTTTCTTCTTCCTCTATTATAACACATGATAGGGTTCACACTCTCCCATACCCATCTCCCAATCAAATTTTGACACCACATTTACTAACTCTTTTTTTAAGGGAAAAAAAAAAGAAAAAAAATTGAAAGTAGGGTTTAGAGGGGGGTCACATGGAAAAATTGATCAAATTCGAATCGAGGGTAGGATCCGCCACTTGATCGTTAGGGGTATAAGTGGTTTAGTTCAATTTAGTTTTTGGCGAAAACCAACATTTAGTCAATTTGTTATTTCGCACCAAAAATTTATGTTCAAGAAGAAGATGGAAGCTTTTTAAATTTAGAAATAAAATATAATGAGATTGAAAGTTGATACGGATGGTGTAATTTAACTTAAATGATTCAAGAAGGGAAACAAGTCTCTGAAATATAGTCCATGGTAACTAATTACATTTACTTCCAAAACTTTTAATTAATTACTCCAGCATCCCTCGTGGATAAAGGCAAGAAAGAAACAATTTTTTTTTACTTGAATTATAAATTTTTAAATTTTTAAATTTTAGGAAAAGATATAACCATCAAATTTCATAAAACTAAATTTGTAATTTACAATTCGTCCCATGGAATTTTTTTAATCTGAGTCTCTCATTCTTTTTTTTTTTTTTTTTTGAGAAATGAGTCTCTCATTCTTTTTGTCATATATTATGTCAAATAATCAAGCAATAATCTAATTAACAAGTAACGTTAATTTTTAAGAAACAATTTTAACCGCAAAAAGTTACTAGAATTAAAATAGACCAAATAAAGCAAAAAGTTACTAGGATTAAATTTATAATTTTAACCCATTTAAAATACCATAACAGATGCAATATAAATAGACTAGATTAAAATGGCAACCACCTACGATGTTATATGATCACAGACGGTCCATTAATCGACCGTGGATCATCCACTCCACGATGAACCTCCACTTCCAATTTTTGGTCTAACCTAAACCGGAGAAAAAAGGAATCCCGGTCGAATTAAGCCACTGGCTACCCTCTAAAAACCCTTCCACCGTAAACTGACTCGCCTCCGTCGAACTATTAATCACCCGATAACCCGGCCAATTAACCCGACCAGTTGTGTTTGAACCGGGCCCTCGATTCATATACTCCCCATAATATAAAGTGTCCAATGCAAACGTCCCATTCCACTCAAGCCACCCGACTGGGTCTACGAGCTGCCCAATAAATGATCGTATAAAAATCGTCCTTGAGTATAGCTTCCAGGGTCGACCCAAGTAAGTTCGGAACGACGAGAGAACCGGGATTAGATCGGAGGCGGCCTCAACCTTGCAATTCAAGATGGAGATTCCAGTGTTCTGGTTGGGGTCCTCTCGACCTTGGGCGGTGAAGATGTTTCGTTGGTTCGAGTTGGGTTTTCGAGCGTAAAGGTTGCAGTTTTGGAAGACGACGGCGGCGTTGCCAAAGATGAAGTCGATGGTGCCGTAGACGTCGCAGTCGCGGTAGAATTGGCGGAGGGAGTGGACGTAGAGAGTGTCTTGGTATGCCACGAAGCTGCATTGGTAAAATGCCGATAGGTCGGAGTTGCTCCGAAGGGCCACGGCTTGGTGCTTGCTTGGCCCGGCGAAGTTCTCGAAGGTTATACCTTTTGCTATGAACCCGCCTCCTACCACGGCTGAAAACGATGAATTGAAACTAGGTGTTATTGTAAAGAGAAGAAAATAAATATTAAAAATCAATTCGTATAGTTAAACTATTTGAGACCGAGTATTGAAACCTCCGACCGGTTAATGAATATATATATATAATATACACCCAAACAATCTTATAAGTATACATTTTTAATTGTGATAGTTACATCTTTTCCTTCAATCTAATATTTTGATCGTGCCAAATCATCCTTTTTTTTTCAATCAATATGTATTAACATTTTAATGTCATGAATTTAATAAAATTACATTTCAAAATTTTAATATAAAATTTAATTTAGCTGTTTGGTTGACAATCATCACTAAGTGGAGTGATGTTCATGAATCTATTAGTTATGATATTATAAGATAATATACGATTTCAAAATAAGAAGCTTAATTTATTTTAGACCTATGACTTGTATGAAAATGAAAAAATTGAAATTAACCAAGTAGAAATTAAAGTATAATACATATGATTTCAAAATAAGAAACTTAATTTATTTTAGACTTATGTGAAAATGAAAATTTTGAAATTGCAAGCACCAAGTCGAAAAGTATAATTTGTCTGATAGTATATAATTTTCGAATAATGACTTTAAAATAAGAAGTTTAGTTTATCTTTGACTTACTTATATTAAAATAATACAAAAATAATATTTAATTTCAATTTAGAATATTGAAGAAAAAAATATTTTTTAATTTCAAATTAGTCCTTGATTCATTTTAATATAACCTAGAGTATGTATTTTATTTTTAAGTCAATTAAACAAAACAAAAAAAACTATAGAAAACAATTATAGTTTTAATTTAGCTAGATTTAAAATAATAAGAAATTAACTATATTAAAATAAAAATTTTAAATAATTAAAAATCAAAATCAAAAGAGATATAAAACACGACCATTTATTTAATATAAATAAATATTTCACATATTCAAGCTACCCGTTATTCAAAATAGATAAATTAATTACTTCTTACAAAATTATTAAATAAAAAAAATTAACTACATTAGATTGAGTACTAAACAGCGAAGAACAAATACAATTTAAACGATACTATGTATCTCAAACACAAATAGCTCAAATCGAAGCTACAAAACTAATAACTCCTAACATTTTCGAGTTTAAAATATCGAACCGCTCTCTTTTTTTCGGTCAGATTACGAATCTTATCCAAGCGACACGTGGTTTAATCATATCCACTCCTTTTCTACCCCCTACAGCCCCACATCTTGTACTATTTTAATTTTTTTACAGTTGTCTTTTCTCTCTTTATTTAATTTTGATTTCATCCCCAACTTTTATCTGCTTTAAAAAGAAATAATTGAATCTTTATTCACTTTACATTAAACACTTCAAAGCTCAACTAATCAACATTTAATCTAATCTGAAGTTCACAACGTGAATGTTATACGGTATGTATTTCACCATTTTTATCGAACACATTTAAAAATTTAGCCAATTTTTAAAGTACTATTTTCTTTTTTCTAGAAAAACATTAGTGTTTTAGAAACAGAAAAAACAAAATAAATTAAAATAGTTATCAAATTGGACTCAAAATAATTAAAAGGGATAATATAACTTCATTTTCTGGTGAATCATAGGTAAAAGTTTAAGTACTAAAATGGATAATAGAAGTTTTAGATTACTTACATCTGTTTTTGTTTTCTATTTTTAAAAAATTTTAAGTTTTTTGGTCTGTTAACTACATTTAAAAATATTTTAAATCTAAACTAAAAAAAAAAAGTAGATTTAAAAAACTTGTTTTTCATTTTATAAATATGGCTAAAAAGTGAAAATATATTATATGAAAAATTATGTATAATTTTTAAAAATAAAAAACAAATAATAAAATAGTTATCCAACGCTTTAAAAACCAAAATGATAAAAAGTTGAAAGGCCAAAAGTTCATTAAAACCCTACTTTTTAAGTTTGAAGAAAATGATAAAAAAGGTACGTTAATGATTCATCGTAGAATAATGTCTCAAAATGTTTTGAGATATTCCTGAAAGTACCATTTAAAAAAAAAATGTTCTTTTTAAATCTAAATTATTGAAAATGGATCCAAAATTTCCCTTCCCCAGATAAATTGTATAATTAATTACTAAATTAAAAAATAATAATTTAGAGGCAAGAATCAAGATGCGATCATGGTCAGTTGGTTTTGTATGTGGAATAATAATAAATAGGTTAAAATACTATTTTATTAGGTAATTCTTCACTTTTGTTTCTTTTAACTTGTAAGTTGATTTTAGTTTATATATATATTTTTTAAAATCAAAATATTTTTTTAATCTTTGTATTTTTAAAAATGGACTATTTTAATATCTATTTTTAAAAATTTAGCACAAATTTTACCCCCGACGAAAACGTTTAATATAAAATTATGATTATATTTCAAGAAATATGTAATATATTGAAATTTTGATAAAAAAATGAAATTAAAAATAAAATTAATGATAAAAATTATCACTTTCTAAAAATAGAGAGACTAAAATAAAGATATGTACGAAAATAAATAACTAAAATAACTGAATCAAAATGAACCATATTGAGAGTGGGAGATGAAATTAATATTTTAACCTTATTTGATTTACCTTTCAAACGGTGGAATAATATATAATTAGTTATATAAAGAAATATTAAGAGAACTGACCGACGGTGGCTGATCGGAAAGTTGTCCAGCCGTCGACGACGTTCCGGTTGCCCTTTATCTGCGTCTTTCCGATCCCGTCGCCGACGAACATCAGATTTGTCTTCTTCCTTTCTATTTCAACGTTCTCAAAATACGCCCCTGCTTTTATGTATATTAAAAACCTGCCCCACATTTTTAAATCTTTGTAAGAACCATAAATTTAATCTAACATTTTCTATTTTTTTTAAGGTATCGTCTTATAACAATAATAATAATATTATTATTATCTTGAGTATTTGAAGAGGAGTTTTGAGTTCATAATTTTTTTAAAATATAAATCTATGTAAATATAATATAATACACTTTATCAGTTGAACTAGATTTAGATTTAGATTTGTTTTTATATCTTTATTTGTCTCTATTATTAATATCTAAAACAAATTTAAATATAATATACTTGTCATAATTGATAATTATTTTTTTTAGCTAATAAATGTGAGATGTGGATTTAGATACTATCTATATTTTATTTCAAGAAAAAAAAAGATCATGTCTATATTTAGTAATAGTGTTCAAATTTTAAAAACTTAAACTATAATTTAAACTTTCAATGAACCTAGTTTATTGTATTAAAAACAACCCCTAGTTTATTGGGTCACCTACTTTTCAAAACCTTCCTTTTAGTTCTAGATAGATTTGAAAAGAAAAAGGAAAAAAAAAATTAGATACTTTTTCTCTTAGTAGAAGTATTAAAATTGGAAACATATTTTTAGATTTTGTATTTTAATTTTATTTTATTCTAAATTTTTATAATATTTACTTTAACTTATAAAGTTTAAAAAAATATATTATAATTTTAGTCTCTACATTATACATTACTTGATTTTTAACATACATTATTAATGTATTGGAGCTAGATAAATTAGTAATGTTTAACTCTGGATTAGAAAACTAAATTTTTCTTCACTTGAAAATTTGACAATTAATTTTTTTTTGAGAAAAAAAAATTCTCTTTCTTTTTCTCCTTTTATACATTTCTCTCTACTTATTGTAAAATAATAAAATGATGGTCGGTGAAGAATTCTACTAACCAATAAAAAGTAAATATTGTTCTTAACTAAGATAGATAAATATATATATATATATATATCTATATTAGACCCATAATAACAGCAATAACAAAATTAGCTATTTTTCAAAAAAAAGTTTATAGATTACAAAGAAAACCCTCACTAAAAAGTAGTTTGAATCTATTTTCTTCTGTATCCATTTTAAATATCTTCAAAAAAACAAAACAAAACAAATCTATTTTATTTTAGTCCTTCGACTCTTCATATTTTGTTTGAACTCCTATTAGTATTTGCTAAACTTCACCCTACAAAGTAATTTTAGATTTTTTTTCCCTTAATTTTTCCATAATCCTTTCCTTTCCTTCGAAATCATAGTTCAGAAATTCCATTTCGCTGTGTCAAAAAAAAAAAGAAAGAAAGAAAGAGTTGGT